CTTTTGCTATTCAGTTTAGTATGTCTTCTCTATGATTATCAGCTTTTTTAACATAACTGTTTGCTTTCTTTATGAAAACAGGTGGAAAGTGCTAATTTAATTGCAGCCTTGTCCTTTACTCCTACATGAAATTTTCCTATCTTCAAGAAACTAAGAATGAGAAGCTGTACAGAAATGAGCAGCTATCTGCACTTGGAGGAACTCTTTAGGTACTTAATAGAAAACAATTAATGTTACATTGTATAACATGCCCTGGAGCAGACTATACTGAGCGCAGGTAGTCATTGTTCTTGTTGGGTAGGTTCAATGTTTTTCTTGGTTTGTAATTATCTACCACATATGTGCTTTCACATTGAGAGCATGCATAGTAGTCTAGAGCCTATTTACTCCCCTCTTAGAGAGAGCAGAAGGAAATGCAGTGGTCAAATAATGAATGACATGGGGTGTTTCCGGGTGTTGTGCTGCCTCCTGCTGGAGTATAAAATGACCTGCAATTTCTGATACCACCTTTGATACAATGGTGGCTGCCTGGTCCTTCCTTAATCTCACTCAATTAAACAATGTAAAGTATAACAGACTGGTATCAATTTCACTCAAACATTAAAAGACAGTTTCCTTTTCCAGCAATGGTAAAGAGATTGTGGTGGACTTCATCTAATTAGTCTGTGCATTTGGTTGCCCTAAATTCTAAGTGATGAGTCAACGGGCACACAGCTTGAGAGTGTCTGTTGGCAATAACATTCTTAGGTCTATGCTTTGTTACAAGTGAGCCATATCATTGGACAACTGAAAATTGAAAGGCATGCAATAAACAAAAGGGAAGGGTCACCGGACCCAAAACATTAACTGATTTTTTTCTCCACAGATGCTGCCAAAACTGCTGAAACTTTTCTAGCAACTTCTGTTTTTGTTCCTGATTTACAACATCCGCAGCTCTTCTGGTTTTTATTATGCAATAAACAAAATGTTGTTTGCTTGTGATTCACTGAATGCCACAGCACAAAAAGATCACCTTTAGCCCATACTGTTTATGCTGGTTCTATGACCTACCAAATTGGTTTCACGACCTACACTTAATAGTAATTCAGTTTTTCCTTATGAAGTGTTAATTAGTTTTGATTAATTATGCTTAATCAGCATCTTCTGGTTATAATTTCTGCTGCCAATTTCTTCTCGTATCAAACTGAATTTACAAAATCTTCCAAATGTCTCCTCTTAACCATATTTGTTTTAAGAACAAACCTATCTATTCTTGGCTGTCTGTGTAACTGAACAGCCTTTCACTAGTGACAGTTTTAAAAAGACTTGAGGTTTGGCAATTAGTAATTCAGCATCCAATGTCAACAATTAGTTTGATGAAGTACGTACATGTATTATAGCTGTGTCATGGCATTATACTTGAAGCAAATATTTTTGGGGAACACTTACTATGTAAAACTCCTCTTCTCCACTGTTTAGACAAGATTCAATAACAATTATAAATAGCAAGGGGAAACAGAATGGACAGCGTTGTCCAAGTTCCTCCAGTAAGACCCAAATTTGTAGAGACTAAAGTTTTTTTTTTTAAAAATGTATTTATAACAAGGCATATTTAGAATAAAAATAATTACATTTATAATGTTGTAAAATGTTATAACAATGTATAGATACAAAGTGTATACTTATAGAATAAATAGTATATTGACATAATTCCATACACCAAATGGTTTCAGACGATTTAAAATATTACTTGGTATGTACAAAAGTCAATTTTGCAGAATAAAATGTGTCACTCAGCATGTTTGATAAATTTGAACATCAGTATTAATTGTTTATTGAATTCAATTCTTGAATCTTGGAAAAGAACAATAATGTCTCCCTTCATTCTTTTGTATTCTGAAGGAGAAACCTGTACTCTCATCAGTCCTTGAAAAATTAGGGGTATGTCAGGTTCCAGACAATCAATGGTGATAGGGGACACTGTAGTCAGGGGCACAGATAGACAGTTCCGTGGTCAAGAGCAAAACATCAGAATGGTGTGTTGCCTCCCTGGTGCCAGAGTCAAAGATGCCTTGGAAAGGGTGCAGAATATTCTTATACGGGATTGTGAAACCAGCAAGATGTCATTGTACGTGTTGGTACCACCATCATAAGTAGAGAAATGGATGAGGTTCTGAAGTGAGAATTTAGGAAATCAGGCAGGTTAAAAAGTAGTAATAATATCTGGATAACTTCCAGTGCCACATGCTGGTGAGAGTAGCAATAGGAGGATAGAGCAGTTGAATGCATGGCTGAGGAGGAGCTGATGCAGGGATTCACATTTTACCGCATCCCAAAACCAGCCCAGCTCATCCTCGCCTCCCTAACCTGTCCTTCCTCCCACCTATCCCCTCCTCCCACCTCAAGCCCCATCCCCATCTCCTACCTACTAACCTCATCCCACCCCCTTGACCTGTCCGTCCTCCCTGGACTGACCTATCTCCTCCCTACCTCCCCACCTACCCTCACCTTTACTGGTTCCATCCCCACCTCTTTGACTGGTCTGTCTCCTCTCCACCAATCTTCTCCTCTGTCCATCTTCTATCCGCCTCCCCCTCTCTCCCGATTTATTTCAGAACCCCCTTCCCCTCCCCCATTTCTGAAGAAGGCCGAAACGTCAGCCTTCCTGCTCCTCTGATGCTGCTTGGCCTGCTGTGTTCATCCAGCTCTACACCTTGTTATCTCACATTGAGTCATTGGAATCTGTTCTGGGGCAGAGGTGACCTGTATAAGAAGGACCAGTTGCACTCAAATTGGAAGGGGACCAATAGCCCCAACAGGGAAATTTACTAGTCCTAATCAGGGGGCTGTAAACTAGTGGGGCTGGGGGAGAAGAGAGTTGGGGGGAGACACCCAAAGAGATAGTGAGAAAAGCATTAAGTCTGAGGCTGGTACAGATGAGAAGAGGAGCAAGTCAAATAGTCAAGGCAGGCAAGAGCAAGAGAGAGAATGAGGCAAGACTGATAAATTAAACTGCATTTATTTCAAGGAAAGAGGCCTGGATGGGTAAGGCAGATGAACTCAGAGCATGGTTGCAAACATAGCACTGGAATATCATAGTTATTACAGAAACATGGCTCAGGGAAGGGCAGGACTGGCAACTTTAATGTTCCATAGTATAAATGCGATAGGAAGGATACAAAGGGGGAGGGCAAGAGGAGGGGTGAAAATGGTGTTTTTGGTTAGGTATAATATTACAGCTGTACTTAGGGAGGATATTCCTGACAGTATGTCCACTGAAGTTATTTGGGTGGAACTGAAAAATGAGAATGGGATGATTACCTTACTGGGATCGTACTATGGAACCCTCAATAGTCAGCAGGAAATTGAGAAGCAAATTTGTAAGGACATCTCATATCTGCAAGAATGATAGGGTCATAATAGTAGGGTATTTTAAATTTCCAAACATAGACTGAGCCTGCCATAGAATTAAGGGGTTAGATGGAGAGGAATTTGTTAAGTGTGTATGGGAAAAGTTTCTTATTCAGCATGTGGATGAACCTGTTAAAGAAAGAGCAAAACCTGACCTTCCCTTAGGAAATAAGGCAGGACAAGCGACTGAGATGTCAGTGGGGAAACACACGAGGCCAGTGATGAAAGTTCGATCAGTTTTAAAAATAGCTATGGAAAAGGATAAACCTGATCTAAAAGTTAAAGTTCTACATTAGAGTAAGGCCTATTTTAACGGTATTAGGCAGGAACTTTCAAAGGTTGATTGAGAGAGGCTATTTGCAGGTAAAGGGATGGTTAGAAAGTGGAAAACCATCAAAAATGAGATTGTGAGAATCCAGAGGCAGTATGTTCCTGTTAGTGTGAAGGGCAAGGATGGTAGACGTCAGAAATGCTAGATGACTAGAGAAATTGAGGCTCTGGCAAGAAAAAGGGGGGGCACATGGAAGGTGTTTACAGCTAGAATCAAGTGAAATCATGTTTCACTAACTTCATTGAGTTTTTGGAAAAAGTGACAAAGATCATTAAAGGCAGAGCAGTGGATGTAGTCTATAATCGACTTCAGTAAGGCATTCAACAAGGTTCCTCATGGTAGACTGGTTAGCAAGGTTAGATCACATGAAATCTCGGGAGAACTTGCCATTTGGATACAACATTGTCTTGAAGGTAGGAGACAGAGGGTGGTGGTGGAAGGTCATTTATCAGACTGGAGGTTTGAGACCAACGGTGTGCTGCTTTTTGTTATTTATATAATGATTTGGATGCAAATATAGGAGGAATAGTTGGTAAATTTGCAGATGACACCAGAATTGGTGGTGTAGTGGAAAGTGAATGTTATCTCAGGGTACAATGGGACCTTGATTAAATGGACCAATGAGTGGCAGACAGAGTTTAATTTAGATAAGGGTGAGGTGTTGCATTTTGGTAAGGCTCTTAATGGCAAAGTCCTGGGGAGTAAAGAGACCTGGGGGTGCAGGTTCATAGTTCCTTGAAAGTGGAGTCGCAGGTAGACAGGGTAGTGAAAGTGGTGCTTGGTATGCTTGCCTTTATTGGTCAATGCATTGACTGTAGGAGGTGGAAAGTCATGTTGCGACTGTATAGGATATTGGATAGGTATTTTTGGAATACTGCATTCAATTCTGGCCTCCCTGCTAAAGGAAAGATGTGAAACTTGAAAGGGTCCTTGTAAAGATTTACAAGAATGTTGCTGGGACTAGAGGGTTTGAGCTATAGGAGAGGCTGAATAGGCTTGGGCTATCTTCCCTAGCACATTGGAGGCTGGGGGTTGACTTTATAGAAGTTTATAAAATCATAAGAGGGCATGGATAGGGTGAATAGCCAAGGCATTTTTCCCCCAGAGTAGGGGAGTCCAAAACTAGAGGGCATGGGTTTAAGGTGAGAGGGCAAAGATTTAAAAGGGGCCTGAGGGGCAACTTTTCACACAGACGGTGGTGTATGTATGGAATGAACTGCCAGAAGCGTTGGTGGAGACTGGTACAATTACAACATTTAAAAGGCATCTGGATGGATACACGAATAGGAAGGGTTTAGGGCAATATGGGCTGAGTGCTGGCAAATGAGATTAGATTAGTTTAGGATATCTGGCTGGCATGGACAAGTTGGACAGAATGATCTGTTCCTATGCTATACAACACTTACAGAATAGCAGTATAGACTCAGCTTCTTTGCATCACGCATTTGAATATGTTATTGACTGTTGTTTTTACTTTGCCCCTAAAAGTCTCTGCTGCAAAGTAATACAAAAAAGGATCCAAACAGGAATTGATTGCTGCACCACACAGTGTAACTGCCACATATTTCTGGACAAAACAACTGGTTTGGGATGTATGTCCCATGTTCCAGCTAGTAGCAATGTGGACAGTTCGGAGAACGTGATAGGGCAGAAAACTGGTTAGAAATATAACCATTACAATAATAATCATGGCGATAGCTTTTCTGAGGGAGCTCATTTTCTGGTGATGTTTTGCCTTTGAGATTAGCAAGGCCTTAACAACAAGTGTGTAACAGATGATGATAATAAAGAAGGGAACAATACAACCCACAACCAAGGAAATTAAATTCATCACAAATATTCTACAGTCAACACCATCTTTGAGGTGAAAGCATTTTGTTTCATTATTTTTATTGATGTAACTGCCACCTGTTAGAAAAGGACTGGCTGCAATACCCACAAATACCCATATTGCAACACATACGATTTGAACAGATTTAACACTTCTAGACTTTAAAGCATTCATTGGGTGCACTATAGCAAAGTAGCGCAATACACTCATAAGAGTCAGAAAGTAGATGCTGCAGTACATGTTGAGGTACAGAGCATATGACATAAATGCACATAAGGAATGTGGAAGGTTCCACTTGCCATTGTTCAAATAATAGTGCACCCGCCAGGGCAAAGTGCAAACAAAGAGCAGATCCGATATTGCCAGGTTCACGGTGACGACGCTGATTGCAGTCTTCTTCTTGTACAACTTCAGGAATACATATAAACAGAAGACATTTTCAATAAATCCAAAAATAAACACGATAATATATGTTGGAAGGTAGATGTTAGTTTTGAAAGTGTCATTGTTCTCACATGAGCTTTTTCTCCAGATGCTGCTGTTATTCATGCTCTGCTTTGAGAAAATCTGTGTACTTGAATTCTTCTGTAGAAGCAAACCACTATTTTTAAGCAATGTTAAATTGCCAAGAGTTTAAACATATTCTCATTGGGTTTATTTTACACCGTGAATATAAAAATGCTGGAGCATTGCTCACAACAACATTCTTCTCAAATCTGCCTTTGGCAACTTTTATAAGTTAATCCTTGTTATTTTAGAGATAGTAGGAACTGCAGATGCTGGAGAATCTGAGATAACAAGGTGTAGAGCTGGATGAACACTGCAGGCCAAGCAGCATCAGAGGAGCAGGAAGGCTGACGTTTCGGGCCTAGACCCTTCATCAGATGAAGGGTCT